TTGCAAGAAATTCGCTATACATATTATTTTGAGCTGTTGTGTATTTGATTCATTATGGTTAAGCTCCCGATTTAGTTTTATCCAATTAATTAAACGCTTCTGCAAGTTGGATTACAATTAGTGATGATATTTTTTATTGAAGTCTGAAAAAAGAACAGAACTTGGAATTGCGTTTTATTTCGAATATGGTCACTAAATAGTAATAATAAAATAAGCGTTTGCTCAAGCATTAATTACATTCAATATTTAAGTTATCGTAATACTTGAGCACCATCTCGATTATAACTAATTACATTTGAGGAAAATATATAAGCATAATTCAATTATAATACCATTCGTACTATTGAACTTCAACGATTAATTAAATATTGCTATAATGGTTGAATACTATAACAATTATTAGCTAATTGCATCAAGCATGCTGCTTGAGACTAGAGTTGCAGGTGAAACTAATCTTCAATGGTGCACCGATAGTAAAACTAGAGTTATAGATGAAGCTAATCTTCAATAGTGCACCAGGTGAAACTGGTGAAATTAATTAGTTTCACCTGCAACTCTACTTGAGACATCATGAGACACCATTTCTAAATTTGTTGAATAAATTAAAGTTTAATATTACGTTGAATGCACGCATATTAAGAACTTCTCGATTAAATAATTAGTATAGTAATTACAATACCTTGACAATCGCGCTCCCTCTGATAATATCTAATTCAAATTCAGAGTTGCGAATAGAGTTCAGCTGTTTTCCTTAAATTATGGAATGTCTGGCAGAAAATTAACTGAATGATTTTTATTTAATAAATTGGTGGCCTTTAGGTTTGACACTATTTACCGAAATGCGATATATATTGGAGTACTAGTCATGAATCTAATTATCCCAGACTAGGTAGTAATACGTAATTTTAAAAAAAAGTTTAGGTCGCAACCCTAGCTGAAATGAAATCCTAAAACATTAGATAAATAGGTATGTTAAACATAAAAAAAAAAAATAACTTTTTACTATAATAAAGCGATTGGTATACTTGTCTCCTTTTTTAAGTGCTGAGTGCAAAATTTGTTCATTTTCTGTTGATTGAAAGGATGTAAAGTTTGTTGTAAGTGTATTTGATTCTTAAGATCGTGCTAAAAAAAACTTGTCGAATAAAAAAAAAGTAAAACTATTACCTGAAGGTGAACTTTGTATATGAAAATATAATCGCGTTATAATAGATAACGATATGCGATATTTAAATTTTCAATGATGCAAAATATATGTATATGCATCTGGTACCACCTTTACAACCTTCACAACCCCTATTATTTACAACACCCATTTAACGTTAATTATGGATAGCCCCTATCTAACTCTTTTGCAAACTTTCATACAATTTTGACAAGTTTAAAATACAAGCAACTTTACTTGATATTAAGTTAACATTTTTTAATTATTTTATATTTAAAATTTCTTTGTTTCTAAAGCTTTTTTATATAATAGTTTTTTAATTTACTTTAAATTTTTAAGTCTTTCATTTATTATTTTTTACAAACTACACTACTAACTTCATTTTAAGTTTTTTTTTATCTTTTTTTATATTAAGTAATTAGTATTATTTATTGTAAAAAGTATAGCAGAGGTTATCAATGATCATAGCACATGGATGGCTCAAAGGGCCATCCATGTACTATAATCATCGGTAACCTCTGCTATAATTTCCTCAGGAAATAAATGAAGAGTGTGTTACTAGATGCTAATTGGACTACCATACTATTATTTTTACACATGTTCCATATTTATATTTGTAATACACTTTACTGACTTTGGGGCTTTATTTTATTTTTTATATTTACATCATTTTTTACTGTTTTACTTTTTTTATCGCCTTTGCTTTTTACTTCTATGTTTAACTTTTTCAAGCTCTTACTTTCACTTTACTCTTAGCGTGTCTTTATTTTACTGTGCTTATTTAATTTGGCTTTTAAAGTTCTTTATATAAAACGTGAAATATACTTAGTAACTTTTAGCTACTGTACTAACTTTATTTGTATCTTTAAATGTGAAAAATATTTGTTACAGAGTTTATGACAGTAAGAGGTAAAATTAATATTTCATATTTGAAATCTTTGCTAGAAAATCATAAAAGATCCCAAGTGGTTTTCACATAATAAATACAGTATATAAAAAACACTTATCAAAAGACTAGTTCACATGCTAAATGTTAAATTTAAGAATGATTATATCGTGCATGATTCGTATTTATATAGCAATTGTTCTCATTAGTGTGTTCTTTATTGCAGAAATAATTATTGGAAACTGAGTAAGAGGGCTGACAAATATTAGCTCATTATACCCCCGGAATTTTTACTTAGTCCCACCAAGAGTCAGTCATTTGACACAGTAAAATTTACAAAAAATGCATAATTGTTTTTGACAGTTGACAACGCAAACTGTCAAAAACCTAATTATGCATTTTTTATAAATTTTACTGTGTCAAATGACTGACTCTTGGTGGAACTAAGTAAAAATCCCAGTGGGGTATAATGAGCTAATATTTGTCAGCCCCTAAACACTTTGGCATTAATAACAGACTCTTTTCATATGCTAAATGATTTAATAAGTTATATAATCGCATTATACGCTTTTAAAATAATCTTAAAAAAAAGAACTAATGTGTATATTTTAATATATGAAAATTTGCTAATTCATGTAAGATCGCTTCCATTACAACAATTTCTTCAAGATATGCAACCAGCAGAGATTTTGGGTGGCTTCATAAATGGAGTATTACTTCTTAGCTTGAGCTTAAACATATTTATAGAAGCAATTCAGCGTTTTTTATCGGCCGAGGTATGTTTCCTTTATTTTCGTGTCATCTATTTACCCGAAACGAAGGATTATCTATGGAGAGTAAAGGGTTTGCATCTGATGTTCCGATGTTTTCATCCAATTACGTATATTATTCAGGATTGGCATCAAATATGCTAGGACTTGTACTGTTTCACGGTAAGTTGTCTTACTTAAATTGATATAATTGGCATAGTAACAATAGTACCAATTTTGTTGTACGTACGTACGTATGTACGTACGTAGAACATAGTCATCATGGACATTCACATTCTCAGCCAAGAAAGAGGTGAAACAAAACGTTCAAGTCATAAGGCACATGCACATAAACACGAGAAGTCGCACAGTCAGTCACCTTCATGATAATCACAGCCATAATATGAAAGGTGTGTTTCTCCACGTATTGGAAGAGACTACACCAGGGGGGTAATATAAATGTAATTGCCTCAGCATAGTTATGCCGACTCTAAAGCCGTATCTAAATCACATGATCATTGACCAATATTCCTCAGCACTACAGCACTGATCATTATAGGGTAAAATTTTATTTGCGTATTATTCTTGATAGGGATCTAAAAAAACCCTGAGGCAGATTTCTTCTCATATGCTATACTTAACTATAGTAATTAATGTTTTAAAGGGCTTTTTTTTTCTTTTTTTTTTTCTAGAACTTTATCAAAATTAGATTTTTGTTTCTTACCACAAGTAATTGGCGATGATCGAATCGATAAGTGATTTATGATAATAGCCGCAATTAGATTAACGGCTCGAGATTGGTCGGGCTTATTTTAAAAATGGGGTTTTCAACGCCGAAGGAACATATATCATATCAATAGACTTTTTTTTTCTGCCGTTTGATATGTCAGTTGAATATTTTGGGTTCATCAGATTTAATTAATACTATCGATATGCAAATACTGTTGAACCTCTCAAAACCGATAACCTGTCAAATCTGATAAAAAATTAATCTACCAAGTCCGTTTCCGTTATATAAATCTAAAAGTTTAATACTGATACAAAATCTGTCCACCATGCAGTTTTGGGAGGTTCAACAGTATTATAGTTTGTAGCGAGTCTTCTGTCTTTTGCAAGGTGTTCCACTCGGAATTCCTATAATAAAATCCAAAGAGTAAGTATTCACGGTTTTGCCGGCTGCAAAAATTAAATAAGACAACGACAACGTTTGTAAATTGGGAAAACGTTCTTGTCAGAGGTCTAGGAAATGCCTGGATCACGTTTTTTTTGCATCCGAACGAATATTTATAAATTTTTCTTTTAGATTTCGGAATTTTATTCGTTCACTAATTACATGAGTGGCAACTTTTTAATGCCTCTGTTCATGTCAGATTGTTACCATCTGTTGTTGATTACATGAGTTTAATTACTAATGTAAAAGATGTACTTCATACGTATGGTATACACTCTATGACCATTCAACCAGAATTTGGAGAATTGTCAATTTATTAACCTTTAAGAATTTATTTTTTAGGAGAATAATGAGTCATCGTGTCTTCTAGTTGTGAGGATGAGTTGTGTGCGCAAAAACCATCGCAGACTATCTGAATAGTGTTCCTTATCCATTATCCGTTTATTCATTTATCCATCGGACATCCTAATCTGAATTTATTCGGATATCCGTTTTATATCCGTTTACTATTGATATCCGGAGAAATATCCGAATACCTGTCGGATCATCCGGATATCTGAGCGAATTATCCGGATAATCAGATACGGATAAACGGATGACGGATTATTCGGATTGGAACTCTATATCTGAAAAGTAAAACTGGAATGTTTACAATTAACATAAATACAGTATATATATATATATATATATATATATATACTACGTAGTACTCTAGATAAGGGTAAATATGTTACACAACTATATATGCAACCTCTAGTATAATATATTTAGACTAAAATATATAAATTTATAAACCTATCGTTAGCAAAAAATTTTTTCAATATGTAATACGTATGTATATAGAAACCAAATTTAAATCTATAAAAAAAAAAAAAAGTACATATTTTTATGGTTATGTAATGCTTTTAAGTGTCATCGTGCATGCATAATTGTATTACATTTGTAAAAAAAAAAAAAAAATTTAATGTTCATAGACAAGCAGACCCTGACAACTACATATTTCTTTCTATAATCATCCAAAGAAAAATAATGACGCAATCTACCAATACGTTTGATAAAACTCAATTAGATTTTCAACAAATGATAATTTCGTTAATCTTTGTAATATTATTACTTGTTGTTGCATTTATTGCATCAATTATTTTTTTACCGTCATCACAAAATAAAGCAATAAAAAAATTTGAAAGATTCGTTTTCATTTGGCTAACATTTGATGCACTGATTCATTTAATCTTGGAAGGTTCATTTATTTATTATTCATTAATTGATACTATTGAAAAAAGCCAAAGTCCTTTGGCTAAATTATGTAAGATTTTATTAATTAATCGTTCTATGTAATTATGAGTAGTTATTATTAACATACATTTGTTATAATATATACATAATAAAAGGGCAAGAATATGGTAAAGCAGATTCAAGATGGCTACATTCTGATGCTACGATATTGTCTGTTGAAATTCCTACATCTATATTTCTTGGGCCACTTGCAATTTACATTCTCTACCTTTTGATCAATAATAATGTATCAAGACACTATTGGCAAATAATTATTTGTGTCTGTGAAATTTATGGAAGCTGGATAACTTTTTGTCCTGAATGGTTAACTGGATCAAAAAAGTTAAATACAGAAAATTTTGTATTTTTATGGATTTATCTAGTGGTATGTTATTATAGAAAAACATATATGTTTCTTTTTGACACAATTAATATACAGAATATATATTTTTTATTAGTTTTTTAACGGACTTTGGGTAGTTATTCCGTCGATTTTGATGCGCCAATCTTGGAATGTAATCATTAAAAACGCAGAAATTGTTAAAAAGTTGAAAGATCGAAAACTTGAATAGTATAAATCAAGATACTCTAATGTAACAACTGTCACAACTGTCACATGAAATTCATTGTAGGAATCGCTTGTACTAGTTGCTTAATAATATTGTGGACATTGAAACTCCGATTTATATTCCGATAAGAATTTTGTGGTTCAAAATTCAAAATATTTGGTTATATGATTTTAAAAAAAGAAATTTCGTCATACAGTGAAATTTGAAATCCAAAATTCAATGTTTATTTCGCAGGGAATCATTAATCCGTTAAATACAAGGAGGGTGTTATATACAAATTGAAATTTGAGTGTGTGTAGGGGTTGGCCCTGCTTTATTAATTTAGTAATCGGTAAGCACATCAATTGATGTAAATAAAAAAAAATGGACTTAACATTAAACGTTAAATGGTCTAAAAAAGTATTTCGACTAAATTGATGGTTTAAACGAATAAGAATTGTTATGGGCGTTTAAAAATGATTAATATCTTCCATGGAAAGGTGTGGCGCATGTAATCAAAAAGAAGGTTTTGTATGAAATGCTCGACCTTGCATAGGGTTTCAATGATAAGCAAAATCGGTAAACCTTTCAAAGATCTTTTCGTAATAATTACAGGTTAATAACAAACAATTCACAGCCAAGACCAGATTAAAAAACTTTGCATTGTTAGATGTCTTCTCATGTGAAAGAAACTTAACTAAAATTCGAATTGCTACAATAGGAAGTAATATGTAAGCTGCGGTGAAATTTCCTTTTACATTAACAATCATTGAATTAACAAGGAAAAAGAATGATTATCTTTTCTGGCGAATGCATTTCTTAGGAATATCGCAGGTGCTCGCAGAAGACTTGATAACCTTAACTTGACAATCGAAACTCTTTTGTATATTGTCTTCGTGAAATTAGGTCAGGGTATCAATATAGCTTTATATATTTATATTTCACATGACCAACAAAAAAGTTATTATTAAAAGTTATCGTCATTATTCTTGTCAACTATATATAACTGTAAATCCCTTTGTTCTTTGAAATAGAAAGACGAATTATAATAAGATAATGCTTTGTTTGTGTACATTGTACTTGATCAACAGATATGACATGGGGCTCTATTTTCAGGATAAACGTATGGATGTCAGTTGGTTGTTTTTACTAATGCTAAATAAAGCGGATACTGGTTAGTTACTATGTATTAGGTCAACACTTTTATACTTATCTGTAATGTCATTTTCAACGTCACAAATGTTATTTGCGCAACAATTACAACTGTAACAAATTTTTGTCAAAGAAGGATACAAAGTAATTAAAAAATTCTTCAGCTTGTGAAATTGTGATAAACCATGTGGACTTATGTGTGTATCATCATTAATGTATCGCCAATATGCGAATATGCGTTCCCGATACCTATCATTGACCATTATTCTACATATGGTTAAGGTAAAAATTCTAGATAAGATGTAAAAGATCTTTTATTTTTTTTTTTTTACTCTCTTCTTCGAAAGGATAAAGTGAGTTGAATTCTGCAAGAACTTTTCTAATCTTGTGATCAATGGACTGACTGTTTCGAAATTTGTAATAAATATATATCGATATTATTTTTATTTCTTTATATATAGTGAAAAAGAAGGCACATGATCATTGGTTTTACAAAGATCTTCGCAAGATTCATTTTTTAATACTAATGGAATTATTACGCTTCATTAATTGCATGTGGGTAACCCAAAGCCCTAAATGGTCTACTATATTGATATTATTGATACAGCTATTGATACTATTTATCTTACAAATTATTATACAAATCACATTATCAATTATATATAACATTAATAAAAATATATATATATTTTTTAATATTGTCCACCCTAAAATTTATATTAACGTTAACACTAATTTCCTTTATTAACCGAGTAATCGGTATAGATATTTTGAAACTCCCCAAAAATAGAAATTTATCAAACAAGCTAATAAACGGTTTATGGTGATACTTTTTCCGACTGCATTGACGTCAATCTGGTTTTTTTTTTTAAAGCACAAGCTTTCAATATTTTAGCCACCCTTCTATGGTGGTTCGGTTATCTTTTAGAGGGAACAAAGCCTTTCACCAAAGCTCTCCTTTCTCAAAAAATTACCGCCTAATTATCTATTATATATTATCTTAAATAAAAAAAAACATATGTTTATGGACTTATAAGACAAGCACTACCAAATATAACTTTAAACTTCAAATTAAATTAATATTTTTGTTTCTTAATAGACAAACTTTTACGATTTCGTTTTTTTTCGTATATATATATTTAAAAAAAAAATTCTTTCGTATCTTGCCAAGTATTCGGCAATCTTGGTAAATCTCCCTTTATTTAATAATAGCTCTCAATATTCGAACAATATTTTTAACGGCAAAATTAAATTAAAAATAATATAAAATAATTGGCAAAATCCTTTATTAGCAAGGACGCTGGGCGGCTCCTTTCATCCTTGCGATTTAACTTTCGTTACTTTCTTCACGTTAATATAGACTTTCCCCCTTTTTCTTTTCCTGGTGAAACTAATATACATATTTTCTTTTTCTCGGTTATTTTTTTTGAATACCTTTTGAAGTATTCTTTATCATTTCATACTCTGAATTGGTTAGTGTACTCAAGTCTAGAAAACTTGGTATAAAACTTTAATTACTTTCAAACTGTGGTCATATTTTCATCATAGAAATAAGAAGCCACCAGCACAGTCTCTTATTCTATATCAGCCATGACAGAGGCTCTTCACATGACGCCACAACCACAACATTTATATGACCAACCTAAAGATTATATTACAAGAGGTGGTTATCAAGAATTAGATATAATGAAGGGTCAGTTTGATACTGCAAAAACTCTTTTGGATCAAAAACACTCACATGTTAGTGACAGCTCAAAACAAAATAAAGACGAAGTTGGTCTTCTAGATCCATGGAAGACAAATCCCACAGATCAAGAAGACATCACAAAATCCATTAAATTCAACAAACCTTCTTCACAAAAAGACGAAACTGTTGATAACGTAAAGAGTTCGGACAACGGTCTTGACGATTTGCTCAAGAGTAATTTACAAGCTTCTGACTTGCTTCTCGATCCGTTTGGTGAAGAAAATGAAAAGCTTATCCTGTTAAATACCTCTTTGCCAGAAGAAGAAAAAAGAGCAAAAATCAACAGCATCTTTTCACGAGCTGCTAGCAATGGAAATGTAGAAAAAGTATCTCGAATGTTGGAAACTGCGAGAGAATATATTGATATTGACTCACAAGATGAAGAAGGAACTACTCCATTGATTTACGCTGCATGCTTTGGGCATGATGCTGTTGCTTTCACATTATTGGAAGCAGGTGCAAAAGTGGATGCTCAAGATAGATGTAAGTAATTGATAGTAAATATATATAATCTTACTTTTTTTTTTTTTTTACAAACAAATATTAATTAACGATATTATTTTTTTATTTAGTCGGATGGACTCCATTAATGTGGGCGACTAATAACAATCATGATAAAACTATTCGATTGCTTTTGGATAATGGTGCAGATGCTGGCGCTAAATCTGCAAAAGGTCGAACTGTATTCGATTTTATTCCACCTGAAAACCATAAAATCGCTGAAATTTTTATAGCTAATCCTCAACGTGATAGCTGGTCAAGTGTTAGTAGTATTAGTCGATGGTCTATGCTTAGTGAATCTGAACATAAATTAGTAGAACAATTAGCTGAGGCTGAAATGAGAAAGAGAATTTTAATGGAAAGTGCCTCTAATTTGGACTTGGATTTATCTAGCTTAGGATTTGATGAAACAGATGTATGTAATCATTTATATTTTAATTAGGTGATAATTTATATTTCAATTATTTATATTATTTATCCAATATGTATTTTAATTCTATTAAAGAAGGAAGAGGAAGATGATAATGATCAATTTGAATTTATGTGGAACGATTGCTTACCAGATCAGATGATTGTCTTTGGAGTTGAAGATATACCACATATTATTAAAACGGTTATCACTGGAATGCAACCGATCAGAAATAAATCTCAAAAACCTGTACCTGCGAATGTATTATTCTTGAGTGCTCGATTCGCTCATTATTATAGTAGTCCTGAATTATTAGAATCATTATTGTTCGAAGTTATTAATTCCATTGATGCTGTTGTCAAGGTGTGTATCTTATATATAATATTGATAACTTTTTAAGTGTTCCTTTATTATTCTAGTTAAATTCATAATCTAATTTTACCTTCATTTCAGTCACGACCTGATGATATGACTCTTTTATCATTCTGGATTTCAAATTGTACATTATTATTGTACTATCTAAAAAAAGATGCGGGTCTTGCTAGCGCTACAGTTGAATATCAATTAAGGATTTCGGAACAACTTCACGAAACATATGTATTTTTAATAAAAGATGCTGAAAGGCGAATTGGAAAAGTGTTGGAATCTTCAATGTTGGAATATGATGCCATCCCTGGAATGGATGACGTTCGGTTTGAAGGTGAATGGAGAGTTTTCAGAAATTTCAGGAGATCAAGAAGTCCTCAAGAGAATGACTATACAACCCCAAAAAGATCATCCTCTATCAGCTTAAAAAGAAATTCTTCAAATATGATTCCTTTTCGTTCTCCTGCATCTCCACGGCAAAGAAGCGCTCCGTCTCCCCGAAACATTACCTCCCTTTTATCCTCTACACTTTTTATCCTTCAAACTTATGAAGTTCATCCGATGATCATTGACCAAGTTCTCAATCAACTGTTCTATTATATTTCATGTGAACTCTTTAACAAAATCCTTTCCAGCAAGAAATATTTGTGTCGGTCAAAGGCTATGCAAATTCGTCTTAATGTTTCTGTTATTGAAGATTGGGTCCGCACCAACAATTTATCGTTATCTCTTATAACACACTTCCAACCTTTGATTCAACTTTTGCAATTGTTGATGTGCTGGTCTCAGATGAACGATTTTGCATTTTTAGTGCAAACTACTAAAGAGCTTAACCTTATTAATCCTGCACAACTTAAGCGAGTCAGTAAAAATTATAAATATGAGATTAATGAACCAAAGATAACTGAAGAATGTCAACAGTATATCTTACAATTGGAAGAGGATACAGCACGACGGAACAAACGGTATTCAACTGAAAGTATACGGAGCGATCGAAGTGATGCTTCAAGTATCATTTACTTAACAGTATCGCCGACATTACCACCTTGTGTCGAACCTAATTGGGAGGAAGAAGATGACTTAATGGAAATGAAGGCTAGCGACTCATTATTACCATTTGCTATACCAACTAGCACTGAGATGTTGGCAAACTTTGGTACAAAAAATAAAGATTCTGATCCTATCATACCTGTGGTACCTGATGAATGGATGGAAAAATTGGACGTTGGAATGCGACATGGTACTAGCGGCGTTGTTGAAGAGCTAACATCAAAATGGGAGGCTGAATATCTTGAGGACGAAGAAGATGATGGCGTATTAGAATCAATGGGTGTTTCCAGCAACATCTAAATTATCAAAGCTGTTGATACGAATCTAGTCTTTCATATTTTGCTAATTAGCTTAATAATTGTAAAATTTGGTTTTACATTCAGTTTTTATGTCAAAAATAAGGGTTTTTTTTGGATATATATGGGTTTTGATATTTTTTTTTTTTTTGTTTTTTCTTGTATTTTTTTCTTTTTATGGTTTTTCGGTGTCCTTATACACCGATAAGAATGTTGAATTAAGGGACTTTTATAAGAGGATTGACTAGGATTACTTTTATTTTATTTACTGTTCAGAAATGGACGTTTCCTTATTGAAAAATATTGTATGGTGTAAGATTTGTAATCTCCGCCAACTTCGTATATCCCATCCTATTTTTCTATATTTTATATATTTTCTTATTTTGTCTTTCTCATTTTTCATTTTTTTTTTTTTTTTGTACTTTTTAAAGATCCGACAACTTCGGCAAAAAAACCATTAAATTGAAAAAATTACTTTAAGGTGGATTATTAACACCTAGAATATGTTCGAATTAGTGAAATTTAGTTTTTAGTGTCATTGGTCTGCTTGATCTATTCATATCTGAAATGTGTTATGTTTGTGGCGCAGCAAAAATACTTTAGATGTTAGTTAGAGTTAATATTCACGGGTTTTTGCTAAAAAAACTAATAATGCTCTAATCTTTAACTATCCGTTAACTTCGTGTAACCAAATATTCACTTTTATATAATTGAAAATATTCATTGTCAATTTGTTAGAGCACCAAAAGGTAGTTCATGTGGTTTCTGCTCAATACAGTCGAGGATATTACCAAATGGGGGTGGTCGGTAAATCAAACCTATGTAGACCCTAAATCGATTACCATAGTACAGATAATTGGCTAATTTTAATAACTTATACAGATAATCAATATAGATATAGTGCTAACAGCTTGTAAAAATTTGATTGAACTTTGTCAACGCACTTTGTACACCAAAGCTAGCCACCTCAGTTTCTTTTTTTTTCTTTTTTTTTAATACCAACAATTCCGTCTCTAATATCTTCTTTTGAAAATTTTGTTTCAGAAAGACAATTTAGATTTTTTAGGATCTATTGTTATGTTTGATGAGTTTTTAAATTTAGTTTGTTGAACATTGTTGCTGATATACAATTATGTAATAAATTTTTGTAGTAATGAACTTATAAAGCAGTGGATAGTTAGGTAGTTTAGGATTTGATATATAGCAAAAACTATTAAATTGTTTATGAAAGTTTGGATCTAAAGCATAGAGCATTTTTAGTTCAAAATCATTTGAAAGATTTTTTTTCAATCATTTTCAAGTTGGCACTAATGGTGCTGTCTGAAACCTCATAGTTTCAGGTTAACCAAAACTGAAACTAGTATTACCAGTTTTGAGCATTAACCTTCAAGCTGAAACTTGTATAAACTCTAAAACTATGCCAAAATCTGAAACTATGTCAAAATTCTGAAACTATGCCAAAATTCTAAAATTTGAAAAATTAAGAATTTAATAATAATTTGGTATTATTTCATTTCCAACAATTATTCTTCTGATTCAATCTTCACCCCAACTCTCTGACAACCTTTTTCTCAACACAACTGCCTATTTGGCAACCATTTACTTGATAAATATTTTTCTAATACCTCTACACTATTGCTTATCTGATAACAATCTCTTTCCTAATGACAATTCTTTTCTGATATCACCTTTTCCAAATACCATTCTTTTCCAATATCTTCTTTTCCCAAAATCATCTTTCTTTAATATCACTCTTTTCTAACATCAATTTTTTCAAATATTATTTTTTCTCAACACTTTCTTTTTAAACACCACCCTCTCTAACACCACTTTTCCTCTTTTTCAACACCACTTTTTCCTGACACTATTCTTCCTTGGGATTACACTTCTCTAATACCTCTTTTCTAATATCACCTTTCTCTAACACACTTTTTCATTAATTTTGCTACAACACTATCACTTATTTAAAAACAATTATAAAATAAATAAAAAATCTAACTTATAAAAAATTACTGTTTAAATAATTAAATTATTGCCAACTCTTTCTGATGATCACCTGTATTAAAAAATCCAAACACATTTTTTATAAAAAACACAATAGCATTTAGTAAAACATGAAGGGTATACTAATAGCTATAAGTTGGCAGTTGTTATTTAGAGGTAGTTCTCATATGCTACTTGCTAACTTCTTTAGAGTTTATTACTCACTGCAAGCACAGCACTTGTCATTTAGAAGTAGTTCTCATACGCTACTTGCCAACAAGCCCAAAGTTTATTACTCACCGAAAAGAAAGTATAGGTGCTCCACTTCTTTTCTAGAAGAAGGTTTAGGAGTTGTTGAGTCTTTATATAGATGTAACTACTTTTCTTGGGTGCAAGTAATTTCTTCTTAGGTGTTTTTTGCTCAGCCGGTTTTCTCCAAAATTTTTGACAAAAGTGGATGATTTGGTTTACCTCCTTCAAAAAATTGGTATTGTTTATTTTCCAAATTCAGACATACCCAAAAATGCAACCACATGCTTTGTTTATCAGTAGATATAATACGTGACATAATCTATAGATACAGGTTCTCCATATGACTAGAATCAGGTCTTTGGCATAAGAAATATCCAGAGGTGGCCAGTAGTCAGATAAAAATTTGTAGATTTTATAGTTGAAATATACAAACATTGTAGTTGTTATAAAATTTTTTCTTAAACCTGGCATGGGTTATAATAGTGAATTTTTTTTTTTCTTTTATTTTATTTGCACTATTTCTTGATAGAGATAGTCTTAATAAATTAAGTACTAGCAAGACTGTCAAAGAATTAAAAAAAAATAAAAAATTAAATTATTACAGTTTGTATAATTTTGTAATATCTATGATTAATTTTTTTATTATGATTGTGATTGTGATTGCTAAAGCCAGCCAATTTATTATAAACCTGAGTTTGTGTCAAGTTCAGATTTATGATTAGAGTTGTTAATGGAGTACTTCAGACATTAATAAAACATATAACCCACTTCTGGAGTACTCCGGAGTGGGTTATATGTTT